AATACAGGGCTCCAAATCATTATGCTTAATCACTGTAGAGCCTAACAGCACAATTTTATACACATTCAGGCAGGTTTGCATTTAATAGTGATATGTATGTGTTTGTGCACATGTGCCTTCGAGTCAGTGGCAAGCGACCTGGACAAGTTCCTGTACTTTTCTTGTCAATATTTCAGATTGATTTGCCATTGCCTGCTTCCTAAGGCTGAGAGAGAGTGACTGGCCTGGGTGACAGTTGGCTTCATTCCTAAGGCAAAACTAGAACTCACAACCTCCCAGATTCTAACCTGATGCCTTAATCACTATACCAAACTGACTCCTAGTAATGCTTACTTCTTAATATATAGAAGATTAAAGACAATATAAGATCAAATGTGAAGTTTTAATTTAGAGTTTCAGTGATTGCTTGATTATCTCCTGTCATGTTGTTAACAACCACATAGATAGGTTTCCTCCATGAAGAATCTTTTGATTTGTGTGAAATAAGTTATCAGTTCACAAGCATTTGAAAAATTGTAATTTCAGAAATATTGAGAATGCTACTGAATATTAGCTTGAGCAAGACTGCTCCCTTTCCCACAGCAGATAGTGGTGAGTGTATTCTAAACCAGTGAGAATTCTTAATTCAAAAAGAAATTGTGATGAGGTCCATCATTGCCTGGTGTGGGTACATTATTAGCGGCTAGCTTCAGTTCTTTGAGTGCACTTGATAATTTCAGGAAACTGAAGATTCATTTTGTTTCTGATAGAGCAGGTTAATGAAAATAGCAAAAGAAGATAAAGAATTATCCAAACTATCTACTTAGTCTTACGGATAAGCTGTAGTCAGATGTTTATACACTCTCTCCTCATTTAGTGACTGCATTCCATTCCAATATTTTGGTCACTAAGCAAAATAGTCATGAGGTGATTATGTGACTGAGAAAGACACTGCAAACATCACTGGTTGCTGTGCTCACATTCAGATCACGTGCCTCACTCTTTTTTTCTTTTATCTTTTATCCCTTTGCAAGACAGAGATTGCTTAAACAAGCTATCTCTTCCTGAACTGCTTTTCTCTAAAGTGCAGGGCTTCCCTAAAAAGTACTAACTGCTAGTTAACAAGCTCAACTTTGTGACCTTAATTGCTTGACTAGAAACCTCCTGCTGGCTGCACAGCTGCCTGAAACTTACCAGACCTTAATCAGTTTCACATTGAAGGCTTTTGTTGTTAGGTGCAAGAAATTTGGTGAGAAATGTGCCCATTGGTCAGAAAATTGTTCTTTTTAATTACTGTTTATTACTCTCATACATGTGAATTGTCACTAAATGAGGTAGTTACTAAACAAGGAGTGGCTGTGGATTTAGTTAGCTGATAACACTCTAAAGCAGGGGTGTCAAACTGCTGGCCCACGGGCCGGATGCATCATGCTGAAATAGCACTCACCCCAGCTCCAGCAATGGGGAAAAAGTCACGATATGTCACGACATGCTCTAAAGCAAAAATAGTCTGGTTGACGTTTCACAATCATAATGCAAGGGAACGGATACATATGTAACTGAAATGCACAGATTTCTAGGAATCCAAGATTCTCTGTTAATGTGCACATAAAATGATAGGATAGTAGAAAAGGTTAGATCCTTGCGCAGGCCTGAAAATCTTCTACTTACAAAGAACTTGAAGATAGAGCCATTATATATAAAATTCTATTTAACATTATTTTACATGTTTGTGCACATTCCTATGCATACCTGTAGGGCAGGGGTGTCAAATTCACAACGTCATGTGACGTGTCATGACGTATCACAACTTTTTTTCCATTGCCGGCAATGAGGTGGGTGTGGTTTCGGCATGATGCATCCGGCCTGCGGGCCAGCAGTTTGATACCCCTGCTGTAGGGAATTAACATAAGGATCTTTAAAGAGATAGACATAGAGATATAGAGACATACAAATACACACATACACATACATATACACACTGCAGTATTTTGATACCATATATAACATGGTAGGCTTTGTAATGGACTAGTTGTTATATGTGGCAATAATATTTGACCATATAATGACCTTTTCTATGGCAAAAAATGTTCATGCAATACATATACTGAATTTTAATATTAAAGATATGTTAGGTAGTATTAACAATTAATATTAAAATATTTTAATAATCTGAAAACCAATAATATTTTTGTAATACAGTTTAGCTTTATGGCACCATCTTCTGGTCACAATTAAATTATTTTGATTTAATAAAAGTCATGGTTGACCACATGGTTCAAAATTCTCATGCAGCTACTAGTTACTCTTTGCTTACTTGCTGTTCATTTTATTTAGAATTATTTTCTGACTCCCCTTCAGAGAACGGTATATATTCAATATTATAGTTACACTGTTGATCAGTAATCCAGTTCTTAAACTAAGGTTTTTACAGTAAAGAAGAACTTACTGTCATTTATTCTGGAAAATCCAGTATTAAAATCTTTCATGAAGTACTGGGATAAGGATAAAAATCATTCGCCTTCATGGTACCATGAATGTTATTTTTGAGAGAGTACACCCTGTGCTATTTAGTCTAATTTAGAACATAGAATAACAGAGTTGGAAGGGATCTTGGAGATCTTCTACTGCAACCTCCTGTTTGAGCAGGAGACCCTAGACCCGTGGTGGCGAACGTATGGCACGAGCGCCACAGGTGGCACGCAGAGCCCTCTCTGTGGGCACGCACGCCGTCACCCCAGTCCTAGGCCTTTAGCTGGGTTTTATAAAACTTTTTCGCTTTAGGTCTTCGTCGCCATGTGCAAAAAAAAAAAGTTCAATCAATTAATCAATTTCAACTTCTCCTGGAAAAAAAAAAGATCTCGCAAAGTTGGAATTGATTCATTGAACTTTTTAGTCCCACCCAGTCTGCTGTTACCACCACAGCCATGCCCACCCAATGCACTATGCCCACCCAATGGGCCACACCCACCCAATGGGCCACGCCCACCCGGCACCCGACAATACAGAAGTGGGTTTGGGGTTGCAGTTTGGGCACTCGGTCTCTAAAAGGTTCACCATCACTGCCCTAGACCATTTCAGACAGATGGCTGTCCAGTCTCTTCTTAAAAGCCTCCAGTAATGGAGCACCCATAATTTTTGAAGGCAAGTCATTCCACTGGTTTTGTAGGATCAGTTCTTAGTTTTGAGATTTGAGGATACGCTGAAGGCAGATGCTCATACTTGTTCAGTCTTTCACATGGTTTCTTGATTTCAGTCAAGTATTTACATACAAGCAATAAAATGCTTTATTACTTTATGCTCTACAATTTGTTGTGGATGACGGATAAACTTCACCCCAGTCCTATATATTCTGTGATGATACAATCCAACTATTATGTCTACAGGAATTGTTTTTTTGGTATATCTTTATATAGCAAAATATGTGCATCAGTCTCTTTAACAGAAACAAGAACTGGTACATAGTCTGGAGTCATGTAGATGAAAAAGTAGAATTTGTCTAGGAATATAAAAAGAATCTTACCGGCAGCAAGGCAGAGGATCTATTTAATATAACATCCTGTTTCCATATTCTTTCCTATTTTCTATAGCAGTGATGGTGAACCTTTTAGAGACCGAGTGCCCAAACTGCAACCCAAAACCCACTTATGCATCGTCGAGTGCCAGGTGGGTGTAGCCCATTGGGTGGGTGTGGCCCATTGGGTGGGCGTGGCTGCGGTGGTAACGGCAGACTGGGTGGGACTAAAAAGTTCAATCAATCAATTTCAACTTTGCGAGATCTTTTTTTTCCCCCGCGAGAAGTTGAAATTGACTGATTGAACCTTTTTTTTTGCACATGGCGGTGGAGGCCTAAAGCAAAAAGGTTTTATAAAACCCAGCTGAAGGCCTAGGACTGGGGTGACGGCACGCATGCCCATAGAGAGGGCTCTGAGTGCCGCCTCTGGCATCCGTGCCATAGGTTCGCCACCACTGATCTATAGGAACAGAATAGTTTTCTGCTATTGTTCCTCAGCAATCAGTGCTTCTGTTCCTGGAGGTAGCCTTGACATCTCAGAGAAAAGCTGGGTTTAAGTGCAAAAGAACAGTAACATATAAAAGGATGGTTCTCACTGCAGGCAGAAACGTTTGTACTTCAGGCTATCATAGTGAAAAAAATCTACACCACTTCTCTGTAACAGGCAAAAAAATCAGGAGTCTGGTAGCATTTTTTCTGACTAAAAAATGCTTATTAAAAGGCATACGTTTTTGTGACTGCAATTCACTTTATCAGGTGTATAGAGTCTTTCGGTTTTCAGAATGTCCTGAGCCTCAGATTCTCTAGCTTAAGGGTGTCAAACTGGTGGCCCACGGGCTGGATGGGTCTTGTGCAGGCCACGCCTACCCCAGCTGCACAAAGGCAAAAAAGTCATGATATGTCACAATATGTCACGTGACGTGAATGAGTTTGACACCCATGCTCGAGCTCTTACATTGTCTTTATAAGAAACAGCACTCTATTTTTCCACTACCCAACTATTTTTCCATCCTAAAACTGGTTTTTGACATTGCAATAAGTATGCAGTCCTACACATATGACAATATGAAATGTTATCTTTAATAAAATATCTGATCTGTTTTAAACATACATAAGAAGTAGAACCATCTCACAAGGAGAAAAAGTCTTATACAATGGTCATCCATAAACCTCTCTGCTCTTATTTTCTATAAAAGAAATATAATATCTGCTCATATTTAATAGATATTTATAGATTCTACTATACTAGTCTGCTTAAAGATATTTAATCAATTTAAGAAAGGTGATTTTGAGAAAGGTAGTTTTATTTCTGCTAAGATTTTATTCATGGTTTTATATAAATAAGATAAAAGGGACCATTAATATAACTTGTTCCTCACACAGAAAACCTTGTGAGCCTACTGGAATATCTTGATTCCTTCATTACTATGTAATCAATATGTGTATAATTAAAAAATATATCAGTCATTATGTAGTAATGATATTCTTTTTTCTTTCTGTCAGACAATTCTTCATCTCTTCTTGAAGATGAGGAGCTAGGTATGGAGGCCACCAGCTGGCAGCTGAACAACACATCCATTAATGGCCATGTTGAAAGTGCAACCACAGCCCGTTTCCCCAGCTGGGTGACTTTTGATGACAATGAAGTTAGTTCCATTTCTCCAATAACTATATCTCCTGTGAAACAAGAGTCCTCATCATTATCAGAAGGAGCAACAACAGCAACAACACAGGTCATAGATGTGAACACTAGTACCCCTTTATCCTTTAAAAAAAGGGAGCGCCCCAGGAGCACCTTGAGTGATTTTTCTAAAGTTCAGAAGCTAGATCTTTCTTCCATCACCTCGGTGCCATCAGTTGGTGGAACACCCCCCTGGAGTGCTACTAATCCATTCCTTGATGTATCACTAAAGGATGTTCAACCTTCTCCTATCAATCCATTCAGTTCTTTCTTTGAGGAAAGGGATAGGCATTCCCAAGGCAACTCTGTCACTGGAAACACTAGTAAAAACCAGAGAGATTCTCTTCTTATCCTTCATCAGGAACCTGATTCCATCAGCTTCAATGAGCCAAGTGCACACCTTAGACATAGAGATGCTATTGAGCAACTCAAGCAACTCCATATTAGTGATCCAGATCAGCAGGACATTCTCAGTTTGCCAGATGATGACCCCACAATCTCCACTGAGCTCTATAATACTTTGTCCACTTTGGGACCACCTCATCAAAAAGATGGCTGGCCAATGATGCTGAGGATACCAGAAAAAAAGAATATAATGTCTTCTAGGCACTGGGGTCCAATATATGTCAAACTGAAAGATAGAAAATATTTACAGCTCTTCTATGAGAAGGGACTGGAAAAGCCTTTTAAGGAATTCAAGTTTGAAATAAATCATGAGGTTTCAGAACCCAAGCTTCAAAATTATGATGAAAATGGGAGGATACACAGTGTGAGAATAGACCGTGTCACTTACAAGGAAAAAAAGAAATACCAACCAAAGCCAGCTGTTTCTCACATAGCAGAAAAGGAACAGGTTATTAAGCTAGGCACCACCAATTATGATGATTTCCTTAGTTTTATCAGGGCTGTTCAGGATTCATTGATGGATTTGCCTGCTTCCTCAACAGATTTAAGTACAGTAGGACTTAATTACCAAGAGGAGGAAATCACTGTTGATGTAAAGGATGAATTCTATGGAATTTTGGCCAAAGGAGACAACAGGATCTTGCAGCATAATGTATTGACACGAGTGCATGTGCTCAGTTTTCTTTCTGGACTGGCAGAGTGTAGGCTGGGCCTCAACGACATTCTTATTAAAGGGAATGAAATTGTTTTGCGGCAGGACATCATGCCCACCACCACTACCAAGTGGATTCAACTGAATGATTGCCATTTCCATTCATGTGTGGATGAAGAGGCATTTGCCAGTGCCCGTGTCATTATGTTTAACCCTTTGGATGCTTGCCGATTTGAACTGATGCGCTTTAGGAGTGTGTTTTCTGAGAAGACCATGCCTTTTACTTTAAGGGTTACGGCTAGTGTCAATGGTGCTGAGGTGGAGCTTCAGAGCTGGCTGATGATGTCACCAGGGTTCTCATCCAACAGAGATCCTCTAGCTCAAGTCCCCTGTGAAAATGTGATGATTCGTTATCCTGTGCCACATAAGTGGGTGAAAAACTTCCGGAGAGACAGTGTCCTTGGGGAGAAGTCCTTGAAAGCGAAGGTGAACAAAACTGCTAACTTTGGATCTACCAGCGTGTCTGGTTCTGAGCCAGCAATGAGGGTAACACTAGGAACTGCAAAATACGAGCATGCTTTCAATTCAATTGTGTGGAGGATAAATCGCCTGCCTGATAAAAATTCTGGTGGGTACTGCTGCGTGAATTAGATTAGCTTGTAAGAAAGGCACGTTAGCATAGTTCTCGGTATCCTATCCGGAAATTCAAATCAGCTCTTGTGTGAAATGAAGTTGTTCCATTTTCTGAAAGTATGACCATGTAGTATAACCTCAATAATTTCATCTGTGTAGTTCCTCAGCTTTCTTCCAAAAAATATCCTTTGGGGTGGATAAGGGTTATACTGTATGTAGCTCCTCACTGGAATTCTTAAAATGGCTACATTGTCAAGCATCTGATCATGTAGTAGATTCCTTGCCCAAGAGCCACATAGTTTTCAACTTCCACAAGGATAATACCAGGAGAAAGATAATGAGGGATCAGGTAATGTATTGATGCAAAATTTTTCAGATTGCTAACTATTTTTATTTTGTTGTAGAATCAAGGGAAAATCTAATATGAAGCTTTCCCTCCTATTCTGTTTCAACCACTAAGCAGGACTCCTTCAGAATTTTATTTCTCATGGCAAATCTCACAAGACTTATTAGTGGTACAAAAAGGAGAAGCTCCGAGGCATTGAGTCTTCTGAAGATGTAGTTGATGATCTGCCAGCAAAAGTACTCGTCTAGTACTTTCTGAATTAAAACTTCAGTGAAAGGAATCAGCTGGCCTTTCTCACATGTAAAGTAGCTCAGCATGTGTGAGATTCCAGAGTTGTTCCTTTTTTCTGAATCTTTAGGAAATCAATTATTTTCCACCTAAAATTCCACCTGGTATACTCTGTTCTCAGCTGGAACTGAGGAACAGAACTCCGGGAATTTTTAGTACTAACAGAATTTTTCATTGTTTTTAACTCTTCTCTAATCTTGGGAACAGCTACCACATCTTTTTCAGCACTTTGGCTTCATTAGAGGAATTTCAGAAAGTGGTGATAACTGCCTGACTACAGTACAGCACCATCTTGTCTGGACATGCCTGATCTCCTGACATGTTACAAGCAAGGCTCTATTGAGAGCAGAGACGGTTCCTTTCTGTTCCATCGGCTTTGTTTCTGTAATGTACAAAAAGATTAGCTTGTTTGTCCCAGGCAATTGAGTGTTTAGTAGGTTTTTCAGTTGAAGGCACATGGCCATCTTCTGTAAAATTGGACAGTGAACAGGAAATTTATTAAATAAATTATAAATTTATAAGCCACCCAGAGTCACCTTATAGGGAAGATGGGTGGCATAGAAATTTAATAAATAAATAAATAAATTAAAACATCACTAGCCCATTGTTGACAGTGAATTAAAGTTAAGTCTAATTAACAGATTAAAAACCATTTACAGAATGATTTTTCTCTTACTGGAAAGCATTTCTGTTTGCATCAGACAAGAAACACACATGAAATAAAGTCGGGGATAATCAAATGAATAGCAGCAGAGGTAATCAGGTAATAGAGGAGTGCTATAAAAAGGGAAGACAAAAATCGTGTTCCAAAATTGATACATTCTGAGAAAGTTTGTCAAAAACAGTACTAGCTGTGCTAAACAGTATTTCATGAAACTGAAAGTTTTTGAAATGCATCTAGTTAAGATCTCAGAGACTGAAAAGGGTTGATCAGGCATGTTTGAACATAGAATTTGAGTGCCTCTATTCTGCATGGTGATCTCTCCCAATTGCAGAAATCTTTTGAAGTCCAATCATTTATCTTGTACTTTTTGTATAATCAAGTCTTAACAAAAATTAAAAAATGAATACTAAATTAATTAATTACTTGCTTACATATTTATAATATTAATTATCTCTGTCCAGAGGCTGGGTAACTCCACCAACTTACAGACTGGATTCTCATATAATTCTAAACAAATAAAACCAAAGAACCAATGAAAGTAGTCACAGTATAATCCTTTACATGAAATACTGTAGAACCGTTGCATATAAATGATTGGACCATTGTAATCAAAGGGTGTTCATATAACCTTGGCATAATAAAATTTTACTTCTAACTTTGGCCTGGGTAAACTGATTTTGTGATGCATGCAAAAAAATTGTTGTCCGTTCTGGATACAAGGCAAGTGCACAGCTGTCTTTTGTTGTGTTTGAGACGCAGCTGTTAAATGATGTCATATCTCTGATTTTTTTTTAAAAAAAAAAAGTTATGATGGGCCAATTTGAAGTTGTAAGATCAAGACAGCTAAACTGAATTCCCCTGAAAAGCATTGCTTCTTGCAGTATTGTTCCGACAGCAGCTTGGTAACTTCTGATGTGTGCTTCTTCATAAACAACTTGTTGATGCTGCCTGATAAATAATGGGCCTTGTTTATAGGCTGTGAGAAGTCTCCATTCCAACTGCGTATGATTCACTGCTTCAGGACAAAAGGATGTTTTTAGTTAGCCAGCATCAGGCAGAATAAAGAATGTTGAGAAAATATTGATTCATGGAATGTTTTTCTGCCTAGCCTGAAAACAGGCCAGCACATACTGAATAAGAAAAGACTTAAAGTACAGCTTTGGAGTTGTACACTGTAGAAAAACAGCATTTAATCAAACATCCCTTTCTCAATGTGTACTGTATGAAAACTGTTACAGTTTTAAAATAAATCCCCTGTAAAATATCGTTTAGATTATACACATGCACATGCACACCACTAGCAAATACGGTAGACTTTATTTTTGTGTCACACTGACTTTCAATATCTTTGCTTTGGAGCTTTGTGTATTGCATGCACCTAGCCAGAATGGTTTGTAATTGTGACTTATGATACAGTATGTTTTGAAGTTCAAGACAATTGTAACCTATTCAGTAATTCGTAGATAAACAAACCATGGTTTTTGGTGCAGTTTTCAATCTCTGTTATGGAAAAAAGACAGAAAAAGATACTCTTAAATTAGGCAACTTTCCCCAAATAATGTCCCAAATGGAGTGAACAATTTTGATTCCATATTGCAAGTGTCCTCCAGAACACTGGATACCTGCTCTTCAAACATTCTTCATTGCTCCTATAGATGATGGTGAGACTGGCGATGTCTTTTAAACTATCATAAAAAAATATCTTGATTCTGCTTCTAAAGCAGAAATTAGCAATCTTTTTGTTGTTGAGTGCTTCATGGCAATCTGACACTGCATACCACTCATCTGTTGGCTGAAGCAAGTTGTGAGCAGGTCAAAAGCCAAAAACAACTAGGATTTGTCATTTTCTCATTCTATCAGCCTCCTTGCGCTTTATTCTCTCTTCCCTTTTGACACTCTCATATGTCTCTTTCTATCCAGAAAACTGCTGATGAACAGACTGATGGTTCATCCAGAAGTCTGAATTGGTTGCTGACATAGAACTTTCAATATTACAAAAGGGCCACACTATAGCCCTTACATATTTTAAGCAAACATCTACATGATCTATACCAGGGATGTCAAACTGCTGGCCCATGGGCCGGATGCGTCATGGTGAAACCGCGCCCACCCCATTGCCGGCAATGGAAAAGTTGTTATACATTGTAACACATCACGTGACGTTGCGAGTTTGACACCTCTGATCCATAATAAGAAATACCAAAATGTCAAAGAATAAAAATAAAGCTTCCACTTACTACTACTACTACTACTAGTACTACTACTACTACTACTACTACTACTACTACTACTAATAATAATAATAATAATAATAATAATAATAATAATAATAATAATAATAATAATAATAATAATAATAATAATAATAAAGTTGGAAGGGATCTTGCAGGTCATTTAGTCCAACCCCCTGCTCAGGCAGGAAACCCTATACCAGTGATGGCGAACCTTTTAGAGACCGAGTGCCCAAACTGCAACCCCAAACCCACTTATGCATTGTCAGGTGCCAGGTGGATGTGGCCCATGGGGTGGGTATGGCCCATGGGGTGGGCGTGGCTATGGTGGTAACAGCAGACTGGGTGGGACTAAAAAGTTCAATCAATCAATTCCAACTTTGCAAGATCTTTTTTTCCCGCAAGAAGTTGAAATTGATTGATTGAACCTTTTTTTTTGTTGTACATGGCGGCAAAGGCCTAAAGCGAAAAAGTTTTATAAAATCCAGCTGAAGGTCTAGGACTGGGGCGACGGCGTGCGTCCCCACAGAGAGGGCTCTGAGTGCCGCCTCTGGCACCCGTGCCATAGGTTCGCCACCACTGCCCTATACCAGGGGTAGGCAACCTTGGCTCTTTTATGACTTGTGGAATTCTGGGAGTTGAAGTCCACGAGTCATAAAAGAGCCAAGGTTGCCTACCCCTGCCATATACCATTACAGACAAATGGCAGTCCAGTCTCTTCTTAAAAATTTCCAGTGTTGGAGCATTCACCGTTTCTGAAGGCAGGTTGTTCCACTGGTTAATTGTTCTAACTGTCAGGAAGTTTCTCCTTAGTTCTAGGTTGCGTCTTTCCTTGATTATATACATTAGCTTAATATTTACATTAGCTATCATAATTAGGTTCAGCTTGGTAGTAGGCATCATTTCATTGTTGTCTTACATGAAAGGCAAAATAATGTATTTATAAACCATGTTTTATATCCATGAGAATACTCAAAAAATGATCTTGGTGTACGGCATCTGTACCATTTTTGTCTCCATAGTGTGTAACAGCAATCGGGGCAAAGCTGAAAACTCTTCACATAGTAATAACATGGGGTTATTCCTATATCACAGACAGAGAGATTGGCGCTCAGATTATGATTGCACAAGATCATTTGGAATATACAGTAGTGGCCAAAATTGTGGAAACTTTTGGGAAAAGTGTAAAGTAGAAATGCCACCTTTGGTTAAGTTTCCACCAATTTTTCTTCTAATTTCTTTATAGCTGTAGCCTTGTTCACTTAATAATACTATTTTACATCACTTTCTGGGCAACCAGTCAGCTCTTTGCACCATTACTTTAATTTTATTACGTTTTACAAGCTCACTAAATGAAAGGAAAAAAACCCCCACCAACTTGATAACGATCACATAACACACTGACAAATGTCCTCCTCTCAGCTTCAATACATGACATCAATAACTGAATCCTACTGTGATCTGATTGGCTCATTGCCAAAACAAGATGACACCCGATTGGCTCTCTAAACACTCATGCTCGTTGGCTACAATCAGATGAAGGAAAGCTACCTGATATCAACCTAAGCAAGTTGTGCTTCCTTTTTTTGGTTATTTGGCTATAACTTTTCATAAAATACAGTGCAGATAATTGAACAAACTATGTTGCATTACATTCTTGATTAAATTATCTTTCCATTGATATATAATTTTATGGTACTACTCCAAAAGAAAAAGTGGTGTTATTAGCCATCAAACCTCAAAAATACACTTTTCCCAAAAGGTTTCCACAATTTTGGCCACTACTGTACATGCCTTGGCAAGATTTGAATGAGAAACTTCCAAATACAGAACTTACATATTTAAGCAGAAAGTTACACTAGCTTTAGTATATCTGTGGTTCCTGCCATCAGTGACATTGCAAGAGGGCAAACTTAGATACAGGTATTTGGGACAAAAGGTTGCTCAACCATGTTCCATATTATTCATTGTTATTTAATCCAATGTATCACAACTTTACTTTAGAACTGATATTTTCACAGCTTAATTATATGTTTATAAAATTACATGAGTAAACTGTTCCAAATGGGAGCAAATTAGATATGCATCTGGAGCTTCACAGCAAGAAGAACAGCTGATGAATACATTTAGTAAAAAAAGGGGGGAGGAAACATGGGGAAAAAGTTAAGTAAATGTATTTTCATCTTTTTAGCTTTTTATTAAAATATATCTTCAATATCTTATGAACAAGTATATCTAATAAGTCATATCTTGTTTTCACCTTACACAAATGTATATCAAAGATTTGCTTTGCAGCCCTAGAAAAAATTAAATGATGTATTTGTTCCTGATTTTTTCACATGAAGACAGTACATGGTTCAAAATTATTATCTGTGATCATCAGCCAAGAGCAATGAGTTATGCCTATTTCTCTATATAGTCATGCCTCAATCCCTATATTTTAGAAGAAACTGGGTTTTCCTTATTGCCTTTGGATTAAGCATTTTAGATTAGAATTAGAAAATTAGAATAGAATAGAATAGAATAGAGCTGGAGGGGACCTTGGAGATCTTCTAGTCCAGCCCTCTGCTCAAGCAGAAGAACCTATACCATTTCAGACAAATGAAAATTTAAAAGACGTTTGTATGCATTGAATTATTCTTTTCTAAATTAACCTATAGAACTGTTAATAGCATGCATCAGTCTTAACTACTATTGTATATGATGTTGCGATAATTCTGCATGAAAGAAGAGACAAGCAAACTTTAGCCAGCATTAGCTGACAGTTTTTTCAAGCATTTTTTCTAAGATTCATTGTGATGTATTTGCAAGGAATGCCAGAAGAACTCCTTGAGAGTTGTGTAGCAATATTCTAAAACATGTGTGGGCAGAGTGGCTTTCCAGCTCCCTTCAGTTAACTAATTTTGCCTGTGATGATGAATTGTATGGATTATTGGCGCCGTCATTGTTTAGACAGGTTCTAGAATTAGAGTATGTGGTACCAGCAATATTCTAGTGAAGCTTTATTTAATGCCTGTGTGTCTTTATCAAGTTTGATTTAAGAAAATAAGTTGTCAGAACTTATGTCAGAAATGCTGACATCACAATTCTAACATAATCATTTGAATAATTCAGTGACTTTATTTTGGTGTTTGTCATCCTTTTTCTTCTAAGATTCCATGCTGGGGTTCTCAGTTGCCATATTCTTCTTCTTTTTTTTTTTTAGCTGCAGGTCATCCTCATTGCTTCTTTTGCCACCTGGAACTTGGTTCAGACCGGGAAGTGCCTTCTCATTTTGTCCGCTATGTGGATGTAGATTTTGATATGCCAGCCAGTTCAGCATCCAAAGCTGCTGTTCGGTCCATCTCTGTGGAGGGCAAGACTGATGTGAGGAAGTGGGTGAATTATGCAGCACATTACAGTTATAAGGTATGGTTGAATAACTGATAACCACCCATTCACCCACACACCCACATCCATACTTTTTTGGGGGGGGGTTTCAAAGTTGGAGTGGCTTCCAGGAGCTTCTGGATGTGTTTCTTTTTGCATTCAGATAACTTTTGATAGCATGCCTTCTACAGAATCACTAATGTATGAATAGTCAAATCTTCTGTGCTATCTGATGCATGTTGCCTGCAGTAATTTAATGGATTAAAGCAATCTCCAGCTTTTTGGCAGAATATATGTTGCATGGAAAGGCCCCAGGCTCAGAACCTGACATCTCAAATTAAATGATCTCATATAATAAAAATCAGAAGGATATTTTTTTCCTGAGCCACAGAAAAATCACTTTAAATTACAACGGGACAACGGTCTGTGCATTACTTAGCTTTTCAAGGTCTTTTAAATGACCATAGAATGGAAAGGAAGCTTAGGAGGCCTGTTGTTCATCCCATTTGTCAGAAAAGACAATTATTCACTTCCATGAGTTATAACACCCTATGCAGAGCCACATTTGGAGACATGTAGGCCTATAGCATTATTTGGGAAAGGCCCTGTTGTCCTGTCCAGCTAAACATGACTCCTGCTGAACCCAACTTGCTTGTTTGGATTTGTTTTGGACTTGCCACAGTGTTTTTCATGTTCATGCTTGTTCTGATCATCCTTCTGCTTTATCAAATGTTCTCATAAATATTCTTTCAATTCTTCTTCAAAATTTTCTAGTTCTTTTTTTCTCAAAACACCTTGTCCTTGTTTCTAATTTATTTCCCTTTAGTTAAACTTCAGTTTTAAAGCTTGAAACTTTCTCTGAACTTACTGATTTCCTTTTTGCCCCCCCCCAAACAATTAAGTCGCTCCTCATTTACCTCCTCCTTGAATGTTTTGCTAGCTCTTTTATTGGTTTATAGGTAACTTAGAGTTCTATTAGTTTAAAGCCCCTCCTTCTTTCCCCCAAGTCACTTCTTTTGTTTCTACCAGTTGTTTCTTTAAAGCATCTGGGCAGAGGGCAGTTGCTCACATTAGGACAATAGTACATCTCCTTGGCAGATACAATGCCAATCTTTTCTTGAGCCTTCATCCTTCTCCTAATGGCCTCTGTGGGAACTCCCCTGTGGGTGAACACGGGAATCTTGCTGGCCTTCTCCCAGCCTTTCTATATTTTGCTCAGCTGTTTTCCAGCTCCTCCTTTCTCTTTCATAACAAAGGGTTAAGGAAAATAACAAGATTCCCCCCCCCCTTCTTTTTAAAGTCAATTTTGTCTGGAATTCCTAGGCATTCAATTTGCTAGTCAGCTGATTATAGCTTCTCAGCACCACTCTTGCCTAAATGCACTTATGTTTCCAACTGAAATCTCCCTGCTTCAGCACGCCATTTCATCATCTTTCTTCTAGGAATGACTTTTAGATCTTGAATTACTTAATTGCTGCGGGCTTTGTCGCTTTGGGTCTTTTTCTCTCTTTTTTCTCTCCAATTTGCCATTGTGAAGTTCCAACGAACACCAGTCTCATCTCTGAGCAACGGCTCTCTTCCTCCAGCTATTTCTCAATTGTCCCTATTTAATACTGTTCAGTTCTACTCCCCGATTTCCAGAAAAGTGCTTTTCTGTCTACCTCAGGTCATGCATTCCTGTGGGAGACACTAACCCATGGCTTAATGGCCTTGATGAGAGGCAGGTAGATTTGCCATCTCATAGCCATTTCAAATGTTTGTTTTTTTTAAGGTCTCTTGGTTTGGGGATATTTGACTGCTTACATCTTTCCCATTTGTAGAATGGTAGAATGGCTCACATTTATAGATTTGAAGAATGTTTACTTTCATGTCTCTAGACAACCTTGCTATTGTCCCTTCTTTACTTTTTAATAGTTTGACTCATTTACTAATTTAGTGTTTCACTATCTGACCTCTCTATGGCCCTATGTCATGTATGCTATATCATACCATACAATTTCATTCCTTTGTTTAGGTTACTGGCTCCTAGTTGCACATTCCCATGTCATGTTTCTTCACCACATAGCTCAAGTTCTGCACTTTGTTCCCTGGATCAGTTATAAGAAGTCTCCAAATCAAGGACCAACAATAGATACCACCAAAGAAGCTACTGTCCTACTGCCATGACTCCATACGTTTCAGGTGTTTGTACACACGTTTTTCTCTGTAACATGAGTCTTGTTTTCCCCCAACTACTGGATCATATTAAGTTACAACTTCAGTTGTTTACTTCACCAAATTGGCTTTATACCTCTTTGTTTATTTGAACATTAAAGAGCTCATTCCCTTCATGGTGGTAAAGAGCAGAAATCTTTTTTGAGACATTCCCCTTATGCATCCTTTGCCAATCCGTGTCCTCACCACATATAGTGGGGTAGCCCATCTCTAGGGCCTCTGTATCCTAGGTGCTTGGTTTCTTGTGACAGCAAAGAAACCTTCAAGGTTCTTGCAGTTTGGAAGGCATTGGAAGTGTTCCTGTGGTCACACTGTCCATATAATATTGACCATCCTGCAATAATCTAATGCATAAACAAACATGTAGCACAAAGTTTCTCCCTTTTTAAAATTGTCAATTAAAGTTCAGGTGTTTTTTTGCCAAAAAGAAAATACTTTTTATTTAATTCATTTTCAAATGGATATACATAAAATAATATAAAATAAAAATGAGTAATGCACCATATACAAAAACAAGAAAAAAAACACCACACAAGAAATTACATAAAAAGAACAATAAAACATCCTGTAATTACAGTCACTGTATATCCCAAGTACATCAGCTGTTATTAGTCTTCAAAAGGAAAAACTAAATTTTCAGTGTTAATCAAGCCTGTCCAATCGGTTTTCCCAAAGGGAGAGATAATGTGACAGTTTCTGATTAAACAAAAACAGCAGAAAACAAAAACAACAACAAAAATCAAACAACAAGAACAGAAGCATTCTTTCAATGCTGGAAAGGAAATGCTGTTAAGATGATACTCAAGCTGGCTCTTCCCTAAATCAACAAGTTATAAGAGGGAGGGAAGGTAAAACACAAATGTAGTATATTTCCTGACCTTCTGTGTTATGCCACCTGCCCAGTGGAATAACCTTCCTCTTGGAGTTCAAAAAGCTGTTACCCTCCACCTTCTTTCACCATTATAGTTTGAATCTATTTCCACAGAGATATAATATTTGGAAGAATTCCCTCTTGCCTTTGGCCAATTTGTTATCCTTTAAATGAGCCTTGAAGATTTGGCTGTTTCCCCAGCCTCTAGATGAGTATGAGTCAGCTTGAAAAGGTTATATCCAGTATTGTGCTATGTCTGTTCCCCCTGGCTATGTTCATCTTTTATTTCTATGTTGAGTTAATATATTGGATTTTGTTTCCAATCTGCACCCTGCTGTGAGTTGGCTGTCCATATAAATTTAAGTATAAATAGGTAAAATAAATACATGTTGGCCTTTCTTTTATATTTGAAACTGCTAACTTTAGCTCTTTTTTCAATAAAAAGAGTCATCTTGGGG